GCTGCTGCCCCTGCGACCCGACCCCGGATAAGCGGAAGAAAATGTATTGATGGATGGATGGAATAGTTGTGTAAATTAAAGACAAAATGTAATTACTTGTAAGTTTTAGACCTATGCAGACATACAGCCATGGATAAAATACCTCTATTGTTTTCCTCAGGTTTATTGTTCATTCTACAATTAATAATTCATAACAATTTGATTAGAGAACTGATATCTAGCCATTTTGCAATAATAGCATATCATATAACATGTTTTATTATCTCACAACGGCGGAAACTCAGATGCAACAGAAAAATGAGAAACAATCGAAGCACGTAGATTCACGCAAAGATAAGAAACAAATGAAGGTAACATGCTGTACAATATTGAGTTATAACTGTAATATGCAACTGAGTGTTTTCAGAAAATGCGCATGATGTCTGTCCTCCAGAGTGAAGTGGAACACTGCCAGCCTGGCAGGAAGATGTTATTAAACAGTTGATTCAACTAAATGGTGGTTCCTCTCTGCGTTGGGTTGAAGTTGTCAGGATGAACTCATGTTCCTTCTCCCTGACTGTGTCCTGCAGATGTTCAAAGAGGAGAAATACCTGAAGGAGGCAGTAGACTGTGCTGAGGTCATCTGGCAGCGGGGCTTGCTAAGGAAAGGCTACGGTATCTGCCATGGGACCGCCGGCAACGGCTATGCCTTCTTAACCCTATATAAGCTCACACAGGAGAAAAAGTTCTTGTATCGAGCGTGCAAGGTAAGGCAGGGCCTCAGGAACTGAGCTCAGCTTCACCATGGTGACTGGGTTTGGACCAGCTCTTGACCTGGTGGTGTGATTGCTTTTTTCCAGTTTGCTGAGTGGTGTTTGGACTATGGGACTCATGGCTGTCGCATCCCAGACAGACCATACTCTTTGTTTGAAGGTACAACATCTATCTACTTGTGTTTACCTCACTACTTGTGTTTACCTGGCCCTGGAGGAACACCACCAAAGCAAACTGCTTTGGTGGTGTTCCTCCAGGGCCAGGATCAAGTTTCCCCCAGTGTACTATCAGCCTGATGGGCCAGTGTGGTTTGTTTAATTTAAATAGGTTTTTTTTATAAACCAGTAACAGTAAAGATGGATTATAAGTTTATAGTTAACTGTGTGTGAGGAGGCTGGCATCAATTGCTCCATCTGTGCACCTGCTCCTTGGCCTCATGCTATTATTTTGAGATTATGATGCCTGCTCTTCCACCTCTGAATTTTTGTAACTTTTAAAATTTTTCATCATATAAACGTGGTGGGCCACTGGTGGACTCTCCTGGTGCCCCTACCAGGAGGCTCAGCAGGGTTTCTGGGGGAATCCCTGCAGGATCATGTCTTCCTAACTACTGTCATAGACTTGGCAACACTTGGTCGACTTTACTTTTCTGATCCAACAAAGTCCAGTTAGTCAGCTGCCTCAGTAGCCGCTGCCTTTCAGTTTGCCTGAACTTTAGTACTGAAAAGGAAACAGAGCAGGAAAAGTCCTGCCTGTAAAATGAAATCCCTACCCAGATCATGTGAAATGTCACTTTACTTGTATTTCAATAGGATCGGTTGTCAGGGAGTAACCCTTGCATAAACCAACCAGATGGACAGTGTGTTAGGGTGCTTCATGTTTCCTGAAAGGGACAATGAGCTTCTTGGCTACAGATCAGTAACTTTGTTACATTTCTGGCAGTCTACAGCCAGGGAGTGTTGGTGCACATAGAGACTGCCCACAGTCTTTATGGATTTGGGTATTTCATTTTTCAGCAGGACTTAGCCACTCCAACACTGCCAAGAGTACCAACACTTGCTTTAATGGTCACGGATTTATTGTGGCTGATTAGCCAGCAAACTGATCTTGTTTTGGCTTGTCAACAATGTAGACAAGCCAAAGCAACTTGTTTCTTTAACACCTCAACGCCTCAGCAGTCTGACCGGCTCACCTGTTTTCTACTGAGCACTGCTCTGTCAATAATTTTGCTGATAAATGTAAGTTCAGAGATTGACCTGTAATTATGTGGTAGTGATTTGCCCAGATTGTTCTTTTCTGATCAGATACAATAACAGGCAGAACTCTGGGCGAGATGTGAAGACAGGTGGAACTTCACTGCTGTATAATGTATGGGCAGAGAGAGAAGTGATGATGATGTGTTTCTTTTCTCAGGTATGGCAGGAACTATCCACTACCTGTCGGAGATGGCCAATCCTGAAACCTCCAGCTTCCCTGCCTTTGAGCTTTAACCCTCCAGCTGATGAGGCTGACGATCGGGGGGACAGCAGGAGATGGGGATGGCGTGGTCAGGGAGATGTCAGTATTTGGACAACTTTGTTGTTGCTTTGGACAGAACAGTCCTGTTGGCAGCTGAATTTCAGTGAAATCAGTTGTTTCTGAAGAATTCCTGGTTTAACAGCATGATCAATGTTGTTGCTTAGGAGGTAGGGGTTTCAGGGGGAGGGAAGGAAATAGAAGGGGGGATTCCTGTCAGATTATTATTCTGTGGATGAGCAACAGGAAGGATTCTGGAAACCTGTATGTCACTCTTCCCTTTTGTCCGGTGGTGTTTTGGACTCCATGAAGAACCTTCTCACTCAGAACGATTCATTGTCAGCTGACAGAGACAACAGCCCACCTTCTCCAATCCATTCCCCATCGCACAGAGAATGAGGTGTGATGCTGTTCAGGTGTTAAAATGCCTCTGCATGTTCATTATTGCAGCACTTGGTGTCTCATGTTCTGTTTGTAGTGTTTAAAAGGATCCATTCAGTTCTCCATGTGTGTCAAAATGTGCTAAAGTGTCATCTTTGATTTCATAATTGTAAACAATATATGTGGATTGAAGAATCAATGCGAGTGCTTTTTCCTGTGGATGGTGCTCTGATCTTGCGGTGCGAACCGGTTCCCCATCATGCCAGGCTGAAGAGTGGCTGGATATCATAGGAAGCTTTTTCCTGTTTGGTGTGTCTGCAGCCTGACTGCACCTCTGTGGTGTTTCAATGTAAGCTGCTGTTGCAGCTCTGACTCGGTGTTTAATGTCACACAGCTGGGAGGAAGTTCAGATGAGCTAATGTTCTGCCAAAGAAATGAGAAAAGCCAAAATGATTTAATATTACAGCGTTGACCTCCTTTACCTCATGATAATGCTCCAATATATGCCTCATATCCATATGCTTCTGAAAAACAAAACATGTCGTTATTTCAGGGCAGACTCCAGTTTTCCTTGAGGTCTGACCAATTCCAATTTAGTCAGATTCAGATATTTCTTCCTAAGGACTATAATGCAAAAAAAGAAGACAAAAGTATGGAACAAAACAAAGATGAATGAATTAGATTATGCAGTAGTCATTAAATCATTATGATCTGCTTTATCATTGTTATTTAACAAAAAGTGCATCAAATTCCTTGCTGATGGGGTTATGGAATGACAATGTGAGGTGAGGATATCTTATTTTTAATGAATACATGTCCAATCATAAATAAAGTTGGTTAGGAAAAATATGGCCAGTTCTAATCGCTGATTGATTGATACGTCTCTTAAGTTTGTAATAGATTTGTCTTATTCCCTAAAGTTCATATTCATATCAAGATAAATACAATGAACACCAAACATTATGGTTGTGAGGAATTCAACTTGTGGACTTGATCCCACCATAATGATTGAACCAGTTTTACATGAAGTGCTGCCAAAGCATCTTAGATCTTTGGAGTCAAATAAGAAAAGCAGAAATAACTTTACGCTGTATTCCTTTAGCTTCCACTTGTGGCTAATTGATTTGGTAACTATTCACATAATTTGTTTCATGAGCTTCCTACCAGATCAGTCTGCACTTGAGCAACTTTGGTGTCTTGGTTTGCAGTGTGAAAACATGCAGCTGCACAAATCCTGACAGCACTTGAATGTGCATTAAATGCTGAGATTTTAAGAGGAATCTCATTGCATTGGGGAAATTCACACTTCTCACAGTTCTTTCCTAAGCTTAATGTTAGCTTTCTTTTTTAAAGTTGCATAAAGGTTTGGATTTTGTTTGTAAAGTTTGATATTTTGTGTAATTGGTCATACACACACCTAACTGATGCGTCTATGATTAACATGTTTTTGTCTAGACATAATGAGATAAACAATGACAAGCAGTTCACTATCTTGATATGTAAAAAAGTATGCCTTGAGATAAAACGATTGTTTTATCTCAAGACATAAAACAATATTCTTCCTATTTTGTTTTAGATGTTTACAAACATCTAAAACAAAATGATTTAATATTACATTATCATTTATCTCATTATAATGCTCCAACATATCCATATACTTCTAAAAACAAAACAAACATCAAGTACATCTATGCATGATCAGTCTTTCCTTTTTTTTTTTTTTTTTGACAATGATGGTTAGGTTTTAATCACTTTAGATGTAGTGATGTCCATGGTCATAGCAACCTATGACCATGGAGTTCTTGAAGTCAGGAGAAGTTAAGCTCCCAAACTTGAGTCCTTCCAGGATTCCAGTTCATTCTTTTGTTGCAGCCTGAATGCACAAATACTAGAATAATCAACAACGGATGTTGAGTTTAAGGAAATTCAGGAGTCACAATCAACTTTAATCAGAAGTGATGTTTATTTACACATTTCCCTTCATATAGCAGTTTGATATAAACTGGAAGCCTGAAAGCAGATAGTGGAGAGAGGGACAAATAGAAAGAACCCAGGCGACCAACGGGTTATCTGCCGCTTCCTGCTGCTTTTGCATAGTTCCGATAAAAATACAACTTCACTGACACCAAACAAACTGGGTCACATTCTGACATGAAGATGTACCAGGTCATGTTAACTGCTCACAGCAGATACTCACCATTCACTACAACACAAAGTGTTACTGATCTGCACTGCAAGTCTTTTCTGCTGCTGTTCACTGCTGTTCCATCAGAGGGCAGAAAGAGAGACGTGCACAGAGGTAGATGAGCCATCAGTTGTGAGGCTTTTATAAGCCACAACTGCTTTGTTTTAATGTTTTATATTCTGTGAAAATGGAGCCTCTGTTGTAAGGAAGCAGCTTCATCAGCATTTTAATGTAATGGTAAAAATGGTTTAGAAACAACCATTTTAGTTTTTAGGAAATGTAAAACTGGCACAACTGGAGGGGAAATCTGAGAATAATGTCCAGTGTTGTAAATCAGTCCTCACTATGTAAAGAGCATTTGGATTGTGTTTGGTTTTTAAAGGAGTCTGTGTTGTTTGTTCAATCAGACTGAAAAAACATATAGCAGTAACACAGAAATCTTGTTTAAAATAGTTGTGCAATACTTTTCAGTCACATTTCCAGATGCTTAACATTTCTTTCTCCAAACTACAAAAAAAAAATATATAAAATTAAACATCCAAACATCCAGCTGCCTGGTTTGACTGGCTGGTTGAAACAAGAAAGTAGTTTACAGTTTCCATTATTTTCTGAACTGATCTGATGAAAACAAAATATGTTGGTCAAATTTTTACTTATTTTGTATTTTTTTCTGTTTCACACATTGCAACAATTATTCATTCAGGGTTAAATATAAAGAAATATAGTTTAGCTAAATGTAGTCTGCTTCCTTGTATATACCAGCTCTACTGTGCCTTATTCACAGTTTTCAAAGTTGTTTTAAATACATTAGTTGTTTAAATACATTAGAAACAGAAACTGCAACTTTTTACATTTATTTCAGTTGTAATAACTTCCTGGAAGGTAGGAGGCTCGGCTGAGCTTGTGCTGTCAAACGCCTAGCGTTCTCCTGCAGATGACACAGCTGGTTCTGTCTCCCAGTGTTTAAGGCTGGCCGGCCGACCGACGAACGAATGGATGGATGGAAAGAGAAATGTTAAACTTAGGTCATGTTGCACAGATGGTAAAGATTAATCGCAGCTCTATTTATTTACCTTCCTCTTGACACCTGTATTACTATCTTTTTAAAACATTGTCATAAGGTAAGCAACAAAATTTTTCCTTTCCTTTTTTTTTAATCTTTTTTGTTCACCTCACACCTCTTAAGGAAAATGGATAAAAGTCAGAATTCCTGCCAGTGGCCAAGCTGTTTTTTCTGTTGAGGGTGTTGTTGAAGACCAAAAAGCCAAGAGACAAAAGGTTTTATTGAACTCATAAACTGGCCTAACTTATAATTCACATCCTTCCACTTCCAGTGAGCCTTGGGCACACAGTGACCCCTCTTCCCATTTTGCCCCCGCCCCCCACCCCCCTCTCACCTCAGGGGCTTGATAAAAGAACTCCAGCTTAAGCTTTAGTTTTTTTAAGAAAACTAGGAAAGAAAGCATCAAGCTGCACTGGATCACAGTTACTAATAATCGCTGCTCAAATCAACAAGTTTCTTGTATTATTTCTCTGAACAAATGGAAAATATAACAGGAAGACAGAACCACTCCATCCAAATGATGCTCGAGTGAAAATGAGTTCAACCACACCTTGAGCTGCACGCGGTCACCACTAGGATGTCGCTTAATGTTAGTCACTAACTACCACATCAAGTCATCACATAACTGTGCTATGAACAAAGAAAATACATCAATAACTTATTCATAAAGAAGCTCATGTTGCATTAAAATGCTGGGAAACCTGTGCCATCCTGCCAGTTTATTTTAATTTTTTAAAATGTTTCTTGGTGGAGAGGTACGGTACGGAGCCCTCCAGGGGACATAGGGAATTTTTTTTCTTTTGCGTTCCCTCGCAATACTTTTGCGGGAACGCAAAAGAAAAAAAAATCCACATGTCCCCTGGAGGGCTCTGTAGAGAGGGACCAATTTCTGCAACATTTTAATCCATAGTCCATGACTTTCTCTGCCCAGACACAGTGAGTTGAGTTCCGGTCAGGCTGTGTGTTAATGTGAACTAGAACAGAACCAGAGTGTGTGGGTCTATTATTGCGCTTATTTTCAACGACGGATCTGTGTTATTAACTCTTCACACACAGTCAGTTAGCATGAACCTGCAAACAGCAGACTGGTCCTTGTTCTCCTCGGCTTTAGCTGCACTTTGTCTCCATCACCCTGCTTCCCTTCTCATGTTCCACCAGGTTAGCTTTTTGAAGACATTACTTCTTGTTGTCATTTTGGATGATTTTTTCATAAGGTGGCGGTGGGTGGTTGCAGTAGGACGGAGGTGGCGGGTAGGACCACATCATCATCTGGGTGGAGCCGGGCTGTGAACGATACGTAGCCTGGCTCAGTGTCATCCCAGGGTCACCTCCAGCCATCCCGTTCACCCCAAAGCCCTGCATGCTGCCTGGCTGCTGGGAAACTGCAAACACACAAGAGTTTAGCTTCACATGACAAGACTGGACTGCAGAACGAGTGATCAGCTGCTAGAACTGAAGCAGCTTTGTGTCTATTAAGAATATGGTTAGCTAACCAGGCCAAAGAGTGACTGTTTTAACCTCTCAGTGGCTAATCAGTCTATCTATCCCACGTTCACTGACTGATCAGATGTTTTTGAGTCTAGTTTAGTGTTAAACACGATCATTATATTGGAGGCCTTAACATTCATGCTGACATTGAGGGTGAAGGGCTAAATTTAATTCTACCTTAGACTCAAATGGTTTTACTCAAAGAAGCCAGTCCTATCCACTTTGTGACCTTGTGCTGACATTAAATGTGAAACAATAACAGTATTCCCCACTGTTACTGTTCCATCACTACAAACCTGAGAGAACATTTCATTGTAGTAGATCGATCAGACAATGTTGCTACTAATTTTAAAGAATCTGTTCTATGTTTAATTTCCTCAGTCTCAGAGAAACACAGGAAGGAAAGAGTTTAATCTCCAGTCCTTAGATTGATGTTCTTGCTCAAAATGTTACTTCCTCACTGGGTGTGATGTTACGTCGTGAAAGCTTCTGCAATCACAACAGAAACTGAATACAAAATGTTTAGCAAAGACATCTGAGCAGATGTCTTGTTTTTATTGAACAAATAGACAATAACTACAACAGCTGTTTGAACTGAAAACAGGAGGCAAGACAGGACAAAATGCAAAACCAGATCCTGTTAAGCATTTTTCAAAATAAAACACTTCCCTGCTCAGTGTAAATGTGTTAGAATCACTGGAAACCCACAGAAGAACACGCGGGAATGTTTTTAAACCTTTTCAGCTTCTCCAAGGTTATCAGTGATATCATTTCTATGATCATTTTTCATGTCAACACACATCAATTTATTGATTTATTTAATTATTTTAAACAAGGAAAGAAGAAATCGGGCCTGGCTCAGCATGATGCATTACAGCAGATTCCTGTACTGCAGAATGTACAAAACATCACGCCACATGAACAGACACAACAAACCAATTTACAGAATGGATTTGGTGCACGCAACATGCTGCCCATGTTGAGATTGACTTTGTATGTTGGAATACTAACATATGTAGACAAATGATCTCAGGCCATAACAGTTTTTAAAGGCCGGCAGTGGAACGTATCCGTCGGTAGCAGACCCAGATCATTTCCAAGATTGGGCATCAGAGCAGAAAGAGCTGCATAACTTGCACCATAAAAAACAAAATACAAAAAAAAATACAATTTGAAACCAAAACATAATTTTGAAAAGTTAAAGTATGTAAAGAAAAAAAAAACTTCAGATACTGAACAATAAGTCCAGCTAGGAAGTTTAGCCTCCAAGATACCATTAGTAGCAAAACGTAGTCAGTACAAAATGGCTAAAAGTACACAGCAAATCCAGGAGGCCCAGATTAACACTGTCAGCTTTGATTTCAACACTTTTAAAGTGTCTATATGGGTCCACACCAGAAAGTGTTAATTTAACTCTTTTTGGAGAGTTGGTACCTCAACTCTAATAAAGTGTCAAATATCAAATCTGCTGGAGTTAATCATTTAACACTTACTAACACTAATTCAGTGTTAGATCTTAATATTAACTCTCTCAGAGTACTTCTTTAACTTCTTAAGAGTTATTTGTAATATTAAATAGGTACTATATTGTTTTGAACTTTTAAAAGTTCTTTGGAAAATAAACATTTAATAAAGAGGCAATAATTTTCTCAAATGCATTTATTTCAAAACGTGCACCGTAATTACAAAACATATTACATGGAATAATGTGCATATTTCACATGTCGCTTTCATTCACATATTGCTTATTAAAGGGTCTGACATATCAGCTGTGCAATACAAAATGCAGTATGCTTAATACGTTTTTCTTCAATACCATATGCATGAAATTGTTCAAAGTACAAAGTGGAGAAAGTAAAACCTGTATCAATTCATGCAGTTCATGTAATATTTGATAGAGTACATTTTCTTTTAACAGGTAGATTGCCAGATATGTACATTACATAACAGACCAACCTGATATTCAGATCCATAATTTCTTATCCAGTTTCTGTTTCTGTTCATAAGAGACAGATCCTCTCTGCACTCCACCAGAGAGATGTCCAGTCACTAACAGATTGTCTTCAGGTTGTTGGGCTGTTCGTGAAGTTTGGCCGGAGACACCAACATGCTCCTCTACTGCATCGGACAGTCTTCAGTCTCTGAGTACTACAGCCAGTGTAGTACAAAAACAAAAAACAGAACAATGAGGAATGGAGTGAAGGAATACATTTTACTACAACACTACCAACAAGCCTCCATTACAGAAATGTGGAGTTTCACAGATATTAACACTTACATAATCATTTTTGGAGCTTGAATCTTCGAAGAATCCATGGAGGGATCAGGAGGGGGAAGTTAGGCAGACGACTGGCGATTCATCCGCAACCAGACTGGTTCTAATATATCAGTGATTCTTGAGAATAGGGACAAAATGGGTTTTAATTTTCCCATATTATTTTTTTTATTATTTCTCAACCTTATGTATGCAATTATTTG